AAAAAAAAAAAAAACGTTAATCGACGCTAACGACATTTCTTTATCAAACAATATGTCAAGACACAAGTTAATCTAACACATATTTGTTACAAATCTTTTTTAAAGCTAGCTAGTTGTGCAGTAGATAAATACAACACAAATCGACTCTCCTCACCATGACTAAATCTAAGAATTACTTCCAAAAATGTATACCTTTTTCTTCTGGATATGTCATTTCAATACTTTTCGACGCTTCTTGCAGCATTTTTGAGCAATCTTACTATAAACAATTGAAAAATAGTTAATAGTGATACCTGAATGCGATATTACAGAATGAGGTTATAAAGCCAACAGTAGATGGTATGTTGAGCATAATACGATCATGCGCCAAAGCCAAAACAGTGAAGAAATTGATCTTCACAAACTCAGCTGGGACATTGAATGTCGAAGAACACCAAAAACCAGTCTACGATGAAACCAACTGGAGTGACCTGGATTTCATTTACTCCAAGAAAATGACTGGATGGGTTAGTTTTTGTCTTCCCTCACCATTTTCTCGTTCAACCATAATATTTGAATCAGATGGTTCTATTCATCGTTTTAAAATTATCGGTAATCCTCTTTTCGTGCAGATGTATTTTGTGTCCAAGATTTTGGCTGAGAAAGAAGCAATGCAAGCAGCTAAAGAGAGCAACATTAACTTCATAAGCATTATACCACCTTTGGTAGTTGGTCCATTTATCATGCCCACCTTACCACCTAGCCTAATCACTGCACTTTCCCCTATCACTGGTAATTTTCCTATGGATAGTTCTTTACGAAAAAAAAAAAAAAAATCCACCACTTGACATATGTAAAAGTATATTTTCACACTTCCATTAATCTTTAACCAGGAAATGAAGCTCACTACTCTATCATAAAGCAAGGGCAGTTTGTGCATGTCGATGATTTGTGTGAGGCCCACATTGTTTTGTTTGAGCATCCAACCGCACAAGGAAGATACATTTGCTCTTCCGATGATGCAACCATATATGACCTAGCCAACATGATCAGAGAAGAATGGCCCGAATATCACATCCCAACCGAGTACAACTCTAAATTTACTCTACTTCATCTTCTTCACGATTTTATGTATGTATACACAAGTATATCCTACACGAGAACATACGGGACACTCTAGCTATTCGGGTTTGCAGAAATTTTCTATTGTATGATTAGCCCGTATTAATGAAAATGATTGCATGCATGGACAGGTTTGAAGGCATAGACAAGGACATACCAGTGGTGCATTTTTCTTCGGAGAAACTGAAGGCCACGGGATTCTCCTTCAAGTACACATTAGAGGACATGTACAGAGGTGCAATCGAGACTTGTAGAGCAAAAGGTTTGCTCCCACATTCAACTCAAATTCACACCTATAGCGATGATAAGACCAAACCCAATGGTCAAGGGAGAAAGCTAATTCCAACTTTGCAAGAAAACCATTCTAAAATCATAACTAATGGAGACGAGGAGAATAATCTGCTTCCAAATTCAAAGGGAAAGCAGGTTGTGGAACGAGAGAATGGCCTGTTGTTGGACATTGCATAAACCAACACACGCGATCGGGAAGAAGGGGATACTCGTGATATTTGTTTCGATATTTTCATTATGTTTGTTTCTGTGTGAAGGAAGTTTGTGCTTTTCAATCTCATTGATGGTTAAAAACCAAGAGAACGGGATGTCTTACTCCTATTAGTGCCCCAAATGCAATATCAACTATAATCACAATTATATAATCCTGGAAATTACTGAGAATTTTGAGAGAAACTTTTGCTTCTCTTTTGTGTTTTTGAGAGTTTTGTTGACAGCAGACACACTGAATACTCAAAAACTATGTGACGAGGAATAAGGTATCATGAATTTGACTTAAATATTTTGAAATGAACTTGAAGAATATGCTCCAGATAGAAACAAAAACATGGGAAGGGAATTACATTGCATTTCTATCTTTACATCTCCTCCTGTCATAATATTTGTCATTTGCCTTTAAATTAACAGACCACAAGTTAGTAATTAACCATTAGTCCCAAGGTTATCTTTATCCATAAACCTCTAAAATGGTGTTTCGTCTAGCGGTTTGTACGAGATAACATTTTTTATATCAATTGAGAAGATGGTTCTACACAGACCAGCCCATTTCTTACAACATAATTAAGATTATGTTTCCAATTAGACATTTTTGTCATTATAATTTCGGAATCGATGTACTTAATGTCAGGGCGAGGTGGGCAGTACTTGTCTTGTCCTTGTTTTCCTGTGGGATATCCATCCTCGTCAAGTTTACCGTCACCAAAAGTCTACAGCATTATTGGTTGGAGCTCAGATCAAGCTTCTTGAAAAAGGTGTTCTTTGGCCTACATGTTGCATTCCGGGTGTTTGTATCTCGGCGGCAGGAGTGGCGACATTGAGATAATTATGCTCGGAGCGCTTATTTAGCAACAGGCGATTCCGTGGTGCTCTCTATGGCATTCGATTGCTCGTGGATGCAGTGATGATAGCAGGAGTCATTACATGTTTCAGTAAGTTGCAAGAGTTGTCCACCAGTGTTGTACTCTTCTTCTATTTCTACGGACTCATGTTTGCGGTCGACGCCTTTCTGGCCACATGATTACCAAGTGTCAAAAATCTATACATTTGTTTTTACTTATGCTCAATCATCTTGTTTTACATCTCATATTTTACTCCATCCTCAATTATTTCAATTTTTCAGGTCTCATCATGCTATTTGTGTTTGGGCTCAAGAAGAAGATTAACTGGGTGAGAGTAGGCTGCCAATACAGTGATAACGTTTTCGCAAGATTTGTATGACGCCTTCCTGCACAAAAGGCTGATGGATTACTCAGACACGGTGATGTCTATTTAATTATTATTTTTTTTTTCAACTCTCAATATGTTATATAAATAAACAGAGAAGAGCAAAGAAATATTAATATTAATGTCTTGCAAGTATGATTAGACTATAGCATTGTTCCTATGTTCCACCTGCTCATGTTGAAGGTGTCCCGGTTGCAGTACATACTGCTGATGGAGGTGTCCAAAATGCTGAACTTGTTGATGTTGAAGTTGTCCAATCTGGTGTCTGATGTTTTTAGGTTGAAAGTGTTTTGTTTTGTTTTTTGATACAGTCCCTTGTAGACTTATATTTATCCTAATTATCTTGGACATTAATTGTTCTCGGGCGATATTTTAAAGGCGAGCGCGACGAGATTTCCCTTCGAGACCGTTTTTGTAGATTATTCCAAAACAAAGAAGAAAAGGACAAAATGTCAACCGCTCGACTTCAAAATATTGCCCGAGAATAATTGATGTCCAAGATATTTTAGATAATTGGGATATTGTTTTTTTATGATCAATTGATGAATACCTCTAAAGCCTTATCCATGCATCTAAATATAAGTCTACAAGGACACTGTATCCAAAAACAAAATAAAACATCTTCAACCTAAAAACATCAGGTTGGACAATTTTAACATCAACAAGTTCAAAACATTTTGGACACCTCCACCAACAGCATGTACCGCAGCCTGAACACCTTTAACAGCAGGTGGAACATCAAGAACAGTACCCTAGTCCAACCATGCTACAAGACATTAATATTAATATTTCTTTGTTCTTCTCTGTTTATTTATATAACATACTGAGAGTTGAAAAAAAATAAAAAATAAAGAGACATCACCGTATCTGAGTAATCTATCGGCCTTCTGTGCATAAAGGCGTCATACAAATCTTGCGAAAACCTCATCACGGTATTTGCAGCCCACTCTCCTCCAGTTAATCTTCTTTTTGAGTCCAAACACAAATAGTATGGTGAGACCAGAAAAATTGAAATAATTGAGGATGAAGTAAAAATGGGATGTAAAAATAGATTATTAAGCATAATTAAAAACAAACATAGCAGAAAGAAGTGATTTTGACACTTGGTAATCATGTGGCCAAAAAGACGTCAACCACAAACATGAGTCCATAGAAATAGAAGAAGAGTAAAGCACTGGTGGGCAACTTTTGCAACTTACTGAAACATGTAATGACTCTTGCTATTATCACCGCATCCACGAGCAATCGAGTGCCATAAAGAGCACCGCGGAACCGCCTGTTGCTAAATAGGCGCTCGGGGCATAATTGTCACCATGTCGCCACGCCCGCCGCCGAGATACAGACACCCGGAAGGCAACATGTAGGCCAAACAACACATTTCTCAAGGAGCTTGATCTCCAACCAATCATGCAGTAGACTTTCGGTGAGTGTAAATTTGACGAGAATGGATATCCCACAGAAAAACAAGGAGAAGACAAGTACTGCCTACCTCGCGCTGACATTAAGTACCTCGATCATGAAATTATAATTGACAAAAACTCTAGTTGAAAAAATAATTTTAATTATATTGTAAGAAATGGGTTGGTGTATGGTAGAACCATCTTCTCAATGGATATAAAAAAATGTTAGCTCGTATAAACCGTCAATTGATATAAAATAAATGTTAACTCGTACAAACCGCTAGACGAAGCACCATTTTAGAGGTGTATGGATAAAGATAACCTTGGGACTAAAGATTGATTACTAAACTTGTGGTCTGATAATTTAAAGGCAAACAACAACAAACAACAACAACAAAGCCTTTTAGTCCCAAATAAGTTGGGGAGGCTAGAGATGAAACCCAAAAGAAACAGTAGTAAAAAAAAAAAAAGAAGAGATTGGAGCAAACGAGAAATGAGCAAAAGTCACGGTTCCGACACGTTGATCGCTAGCCTCCAAGCACTCCTATCCACCGCTAAATCCTTGAACATATTCTAATTTTTAAGGTCTTTGAACCGACTTTTCTCAAGTGAGTTCAGGCCGACCTCTACCTCTCTTAACAACGTAGGTCCGCTGAAGAACTCCCCTACGCACCGGTGCATCAGGAGGCCTCCGTTGGACATGTCCGAACCACCTCAGCTGATGTTGAACCAATTTCTCCTCAATTGGAGCCACCCCAACCCTATCTCGAATATCCTCATTTCGGATTCTATCTCTTCTTGAGTGCCCGCAAAACCAACGCAACATCCGCATCTCTGCTACACTTAGTTGTTGGACATGTTGTCTTTTTGTAGGCCAACATTCAGCACAGTATAGCATCACCGGACGAATCGCCATCCTATAGAACTTACCTTTTAGCCTTCGTGGCACCCTCTTATCACAGAGAACGCCCGAAGCTTGACGTCATTTCAACCAACCGGCTGCAATTCTATGTCTAACATCTTCATCAATGTCGCCATCCTTTTGTAGCATCGATCCTAAATACCGGAAAGTCTCCTTCTTGGCCACCACTATCCTGTCAAGGCTAACGTTACCGTCATCATGAGTAGCCATGCTGAAAGCGCACGTCATGTACTCGGTCTTCGTCCTACTAAGTCTGAAGCCTTTCGACTCTAACGTGTCCTTCCACAGCTCTAACTTCCGATTTACACCTGCCCTACTCTCGTCAACAAAGAGCATACAGCAAAGAGCATACACCAAGGGATATCACCTTGTATGTCCCTTGTGGCATCATTCATCACCAAGGCAAATAAATAAGGGCTCAATGCTGACCCCTGGTGTAGCCCTATTTTAAATGGGAAGTCGTTGGTATCGCCCCTACATGTTCGGACACACGTCATCGCATCCTTGTACATATCCTTGATGAGGGTAATGTACTTAGATGGGACTTTGTGCTTTTCTAAGACCCACCACATGACATTCCTCGACACTCTGTCATAAGCCTTCTCAAGGTCGATAAAGACCATGTGCAAGTCCTTCTTTTGATCCCGATATCCCTCCATCAACTGTCGTAGTAGGAAAATCGCCTCCATGGTCGACCTTCCAGGCATAAACCCAAGTTGGTTTTGGGTCACACTCGTCACTCGTCGTAGGCGATGCTCGATAACCCTCTCCCAGAGCTTCATCGTATGGCTCATCAACTTAATCCCACGATAGTTACCACAACTTTGAACATCACCCTTGTTCTTGAAGATCGGTACTAAAGTACTTCTCCTCCATTCGTCAGGCATCTTGTTTGACCGGAAGATGAGGTTAAAAAGCTTAGTTAACCATATTAACGCTCTGGCACCCAAACATCGCCAAACCTCAATAGGGATACCATCAGGGCCCATTGCTTTACCTCCCTTCATCCTCTTCATAGCCTCTCCGATCTCTGCCTCTCGGATTCTCCTCACCAAGCATCTATTGGTATCCTCAAATGAGGCAAACGAAAAAGAAAAATATTATGACAGGAGGAGATGTAAAAATAGAAATGCAATGTAATTCCCTTCCCATTTTTTGTTTCTATCTAAAGCATATTCTCTAAGTTCATTTCAAAATATTTAAGTCAAATTCATGATACCTTATTCCTCGTCACATAGTTTTTGAGTATTCAGTATGTGCGCTGTCAACAAAACTCTCAAAAAACACAACAGAGAAACAAAAGTTTCTCTCAAAATTCTCATTAAACAAGCTCGAAAAAACATACCTCTCTCCAGTATCCATGGAAGACCAAAAATATGTCTGAAATCAAAACATACACGAGGTACCAAAATTTTAATATGTAAAAATAAGAAAAATACATAAATAAACGAGTGTTCTTGTGCTACACTATTTCAAAATATAACATGGGTTTTAGTTTTTCTACTCCCTTACTAAGACTATACATGCTCTTTTATAGAATATGCCACTGGTTATAATCTCTAACTGCCTTTCAAAGGGCTATGGTCTAGCCTAGAGCCGTCAATTTGGCCCGCGGCCCGCGGGCCGACCCGCCCCGCCCTGCAAAAGGGGCGGGTTGGGCTTTGATTTTCCAGGCCCGTCAGGGAGCGGGCCTACGCGGGCTGAGGCGGGGCGGGGCGGGCTAACCCGCGGGCCAACCCGCCTAATTAAAAAAATAAATAAATACATGTATACATATATTATATGGCTAAGATTAATTAAAATACTAAATCAAAATCTAAACAGTTAAAATATTTTTTTAAATAGGTGCAAAAAACACACACTTACACATAGTTAACCCTCTCTCGCTCGTCGCCTCCACCCACTCTGACTGTACATTCAAAATCTGAATACGAGATCTTTCAAAGCCTCTCCCTATCGCCTACAGCAGGTTCAATATTTGACTAGCTCTGTTAGGCAATATCTATCCTCTCAAAAACCTGTTTAAAGTCTATAGGCCTCTCAAATTTGTTTTAAAGTCCTAAAAAAAAATGCCTACACTCGATGATAATAAAAAAAAAAAAAAAAAAAAATCTGAATTGCCTCTCAAATCTGTTTTAAAGTGCAAAGTAGATTTTTAAATTTTAGGGAATTTTTCTATAATCTAGACTCTTCAAAGTTTTTTTTTTTTTTGAAGAAGCGGGCTTGGCCCCGCAGCCCGTGGCGGGTGCGGGTTGGGCCGGCTTTTTCCAGGCCCGCCAAGATGGCGGGCCAGCCCGCCCCGCCGGCCCGTTTTGAGAGCTCTAGTCTAGCCACTCAGCCTGGCTTTTAATATGCATTTGATCCAATCCAAATTATTTGTTATAAACACTCATATTTCAAGCTGACAGCAAATATGGAAATGAAAGTCTCAAATGAATCATCAAGAATCACATAAAAAACAAACAGGACAAGCTGGGCATGAAACCAGTGTATTCCAGGATTGATATGTTGAAACCAATGTATTCCAGGATTTATCGGGATCAGAAATCATGGGTTTTTCAAGAAACCCAGGGAAAACAACAAAATATTTCAAAATTAAGTTGTGGATTACGAACCCTATGCAGCTTTGTTGTTAACAAGTTCTGGCTGCGTCTCGCGAAAAGCCCCCAACAGCGAACCATGTGCTTCAGGTTCTTCATCCAGACAAGATAACTTCTTCCGGAGCACCTTTTCGAATTCCACCTTGTCGAATTCTTTTGCATTTTCAGAAGCATGAGCTTGCGTCAGGCTGGCATAATTGGTAGCTGACTCTGAGATGAAGGTGATTTCATCATCAGTGAGCATCCTCAGAAATTTGGCCGGATTTCCTCCCGATATCTGGAATACGGGAAAATCCATGTATTAAAGCAACAGCTTCCACTTGCTATCTTACATGGGCCCTTCATGATTGCTTAAACCACCCAAACCGAAATAATACAATCATTTATGTCATGGCCAGCACTCCGCCTTAAAAGATCTTATTGCGCAGCTATAAATTGATGGCTGTTTAAGAAAAAGAAGATAAATCCTAGCGCTTCTGTTTCATAACAACCATGAAAAAAAGTCTGTTACCCACCATAAATTGCTGACCCAGAATGAACATGTTTCGTGAAACTATTAACACTTAAAGATAATTACAGAAATTGCCCTTCAGGTTTAGCCTGATTATAAGAACTCTGACTGCCTACCAAATCTACTAACATCCCATCAAGGCATCAACTATGTAGCTCTGACACTTCAAAAAAATTGGAGTATTGGACACAGATAAACATAAATGCAGACAGGATGCACAAAGAGCCAAATACGCGTGTCTGGGAGTCACTTGGGACCGTCTGGGGTACAAAAATGGAATATTTACTAAATTGGAGTATCTGATTGTTGGACACGCCCGGGCAAGGGCAGACACTAGGACACTTTAGGACCATCTTGTTAAAAAAATTAAGGGGCCAATTGTAAATAAAATTAATTAAACCCTCCCAAATCGATGCAGTATGCTCTCGGCCCTCTTCTTCTCTAAACCAACCCAGAGAGAAAAGAAAAAAAAAACACATTACAAGCAGGATATTTCTCTTTTCTCGGTCGATCTTCAGGCCAACAGACCACAAGTCCATAACAAGTAGCTAGTAGCTACTTTAGACCAATCCGTCTCTATGTCGTGGCTATTTTTGAATTCATTTTTTGGTACGTAGGAGATGCTTAGAAATATTAGAAATGTTAGTTCTTCATATTAATAGAATATATGAAACAGAAAGAAAAGAAGAAAAGTAATTTATAAGAACAGCCTGAAACTTTATCAATCAGCTAAAGCACAATGCAACTTCTGTAAGCAAGCACAAAAAGTAGCAAATTGACATTCTTTTGATTGTTAAGACGGGAAGCCATAAATCCCACTAACCTGTCCACTGGGTATTCTTGTATTCTGCCTCACGAGTGCTCCGGCAGCAACCATTGCGTGTTTCTCGACAACCACCCCATCAAGCAGTGTTGCACCCATACCAACAAACGCCTCATCCTCCACAGTACATCCATGCAAGATAGCCGTATGACCTAATCCATCCAATGTGCAAATTAGCCCTCAGGATCAAGAAAAGTCCTTAAGTAAGCCAACCATATCTCATCCACCTTTTCCA